ATTACTACAAACACCCACTAAAACAGCAGGTTTTTAGGACTTATATTTTAACTATAGCATCCCTTTCCCAAAAGTTCTGTGCTGTCCAGACTTGAGTCGCTTGTGTTTCTCAGGACAGTGTTGCCATGAGGGAAAGGCTGTTTCCAAAGTCTGTCCTAAAGGCAGCAGAGCATGGTGTATGTGTGCTCGTCAGCACAAACAAGGCTTGCAGACGTCACAAGTGGGAGTTAGCCGTGTTTATTAGTGTCCCCTGTGTGATGGCAATGAGGACATTTTCAGTTACAGCACACATCCCTAGTCAGATGGGTGCATTATTCACTGAGGTGTGTGCTTGGGTGTGGGTCCTACATAACATTCCAGGGTGTTTAGACCAGTTGAGATACCTTACACATACAGTAGCTGCACAGATGCTTGCGACTGGAAACCTTAGCTTCCAGGAGAGCCTGATCTACGGTGAATGTAATGTGGGCTCTATTTATTTAAATAATGTTAGGTATTTGTGAAGACCAAGGCGTATTTCAGAGTTTGGTGAGTCTGTCTCATCACTTGAGAAGTTGTTTACATTCATTCATGGGATGGTCTAAGTAAGTTTCTTTGGGTGTAACCACTGATCATGCTTGGCTGTTTGCCTAGCTAAGGTCTTCCTGAGAATAGTATCCCTCTGGGTAAGAGTTGCTTTAGTTTATATATCACAGTCACCTGCCTACTTTTTTTAAATTATGGCCTGGTGAGTCTTGTTAGGAAACCAAATCACAGCCCAGTCACGTCTAATCAGCGTCTCTGCTGGTCGAGGGTGGCATCTGCCACTGCCCCGAGAGTGGTGCCTTCAGGACTCTACCTTAGAAATCAGTTTTCCTCTGTGCATTGCAGTCCAGGAAACCTGTTGTGCTTCTTCAAAGAGCCACTGCACTTTCATTAGAAATCCCAGACAAACCTGGGAACTTTGTATCATAACCACCCTGTTGCCGTTCTCTGCTATGGAGTCTCTTTTAAAATATATATATTTATTTATTTTTTAGTTGTGGTTGACAAAAAACCTTTATTTTATTTATTTATTTTTATATGGTGCTGAGGATTGAACCCAGGGCCTCACACATGCTAGGCAAGCACTCTAATGCTAAGCTACAACCGGCAGCCCCTTGAGTCTCTCTTACCATCTTGTTTTTAAGTTAATTCTTTCTTTTTTTAAATTTCCAGCCTAAGGGCCTATTCCCTTTTGTCATATTAAGATGACAAAAGTTTTAGAAATCATTAACTGGTTTAAGTCATGAAAAGATTTGAGATAAGGTTTGAAAAATAATTCTTATTTTTTACTTAACTGATTTAATCTTGTTATATTATCTACTATTGTACAAGAGGGCAAAGTAAGCCTGAAACTAAGAAGTTGTGAAATATTTTCAGAATTCCTCTTAATATTTAAGGAAACTATGTGCCTCAAAGGAATGTCTGGTAGTATTCTAATTTCGTTGGCCCTGCAAGGTGTGAGTATCTTAATTGAGATGCCAAAATAACAAAGCCAAATTGTATTTGATGAGATATACTAGTCACTTATTTGAATTTATCAGTTTTAAACTGCTTTCAACATCATTTATTAGCAACTTAGCAATTTTAGGAGATGCAAAGTAATTATTCATAGTCGTTTGATGCAGATGAGAAACACAGAATGTGTCACTCTCTTAGCATTTTGGCATAACTGTGATGTCTCAGTACCATCCAAGACCCTCATTGTCTCAGACAGCAGCACTGCATGCATGAGAACCACTCTTGGTCCTCCTCTCCCATCCACTGCCTGGGCAAACCCGGGTCTGCTTCCACCCCTGGATTTGTTCAGTGTGGACATTACATGTGGATGGAATCATGCAACATGTGGCCTGTGTGTCTGGCTTCTTTGATTTAGCAGAATGTTTGCAAGTTCATCCATACTATAGTATTCCTTTTTATGACCACATAGCATTCCCCTATGTGGATATACCACATTTTATGTATCCATTTTTGAGTGGGGTCTGGGGGGCATTTGGGTTGTTCCTTATTCTTGCCTGTTAGGGATGGTCCTGCTGTGAACCTCAAGACCCTAGGCAAGAAAAAAGAAGTGGCATTCGTGTTGCAAAGGTTCTATTTGTGTGTAGATTGGTCTGTGTATAGGAAAACCAGAGGGATCCCCTAAAAATATGTCAACAACAATACTAGTGAGTTTGTAGGATGTAAGATCAATATAAAAAATGAATTGTATTTTATATACTAACAATGTTATTAACTAACAATGATACTAACAATGATATTAAGATGGCTACAGAGGGGCTGGAATCATGGCTCAGTGGTAGAGTACTTGCCTAGCACACGTGAGGCACAGGGTTCAAACCTCAGCACCACATAAAAATGAAATAAAGATATTGTGTCCACCTACAAGTAAAAAATAAATATTAAAAAAAAAAAGATGGCCACAGAGCTCCCCAAATTGATCCATAGATTCTACACGGTGCCTGTTAAAATCCTAGCTATCTTCTTTCCAGAATCTACAAGCTGATTCATTGGTTTTACCACATGCAGATATAGGAGAGACCATTGATAGCTCAAACAATCCAGAAAAGGAATAAAGTTGGAAGACTCATGCTTCCAATTTCAAAATCTACAAAGCCAGTCAAGACAGTATGGTACTGCATAAAGAAAGACACGGATGGATAGAGTTGAGAGGCCATAAGGAAAGCTTTTTGTTTGTTTGTTTTTTTGTAGTCAGCTGGCTTTGACAAAGATGTCAAAGCATTCTTTGGGAAAAGGAACAAACTGTAAATAAAAAAAAAAAAAAAGATGCTGTGCAAGAAATGAAGTTGAATTCCTTCCTTCCATCATAAACAAAATAGAGTAGATCACAGACCTAAATGTAAACATTAAAATTGTAGTATTTTAAGTTTCTCAGTCTTCAGAAATTATTCTGAGTTTTCCCTTTCATTCTTCTCAGTTCGGAATGAATAAGCAACCAATAAAAGGCTTTTAGGAATCTAAATATAGAGCTTTACAAGGTGGCTGGGCCCCATGGCTTAGTGGTAGAGTGCCTGCTTCACACATTGAGAGACACTGGGCTCTATCCTCAGCACCACATCAAAATAAATAAAATAAACCTAGAGCTTTACAGCTCAAACCTAAGACATCAGTAATCTTTTAAATGATTTTCAACTAAATGTACATATGTAATAGTACATTGAGTATCTTAGCATCTGTCTAGATATGTCTGTGATAATGAGCACTACATTTCAATGGGTCTCTGAGCCATGTACACAGAATCACTCTCAAGATTTTCCTAAAGGGTGGTAAGAAGCAAAGCATAATAAATAGCATTGTAGAAGTTGAGAGCCTCAGCCCTGAAATATGTTCAGCAGGCTTAAGAAAGACAGTAACCAGGGCTTGGGTTGTGACTCAGTGGTAGAGAGCTCGCCTAGCATGAACGAGGTACCAGATTTGATCCTCAGCACCACATAAATGAAAAATAGAGATATTTTGTCTACCTAAAACTTAAGAATAAATATTTTAAAAGGACAGTAATCAGAATGCTGGGTTAGAAAAGTAGACACTTCAGAGCCCCAGCATCTTTGTCTAAAAGTGGTCTGAATGGAGTGATTGTAATCCTGTGTCTTTGTTTGGGGAAATACTTGTTGTTCATGTAGATTTATTGCATTTGGAAAAGCCAAATTTTTCTTCTCTAATAATTTCTGAAAAAGGATGCCCCAAATTAAATGGTATATCATGATTCATTACAAGCAATAACTTGAGTAGGTCACAGTCCACCCCCTTGCTTCCTGGCCACCATGAGATGACTGCCTTCCTCCTTCGTTCCTCTGCCATTAAATTCTGCCTTATTCAGACCCAGAGCCAAGGAGTAGCTGACCACCGACAGAAAGTCTGAAACTATGAGCCCCACAGAAACTTTCTCTCCTCCAAGTTGTTCTTGTCAGGCATTTGTTCACAGTGACGAAAAGCTGACTAAGGCAGCCCATACACGTAGGTTCAGAAGATCTTTGATAGGGTGTCTGCAGCCGTGAGCCAGGAGGCCCCCCTACTGTACCTCCAACACAGCTGAGGAGCATCTCAGCCCACCTAGCTGCTGCCTGCAGTGATATAAATTACTCTTCAAAGACAAATTATTCATTAAATCCAAAATATTTTATTATACTAATATTTAATCTCAAAACTTAAATATGGAAGCATCAGCAAATTTCATGTGAATAATAGAACTTGACAGTTTTTTAATAAGGAAACAGGTGTCAAAGTTGGTTTATCACCTGGCAAATGGTTACATAACTACCAAACCCTAACAACACAATTTAGGGCATCCTAACAACTTTGTGCCTAAACTTCTCTCTTGATTGTGATAACTGTTCACATTGCTGCTTCCCCACGTCACCATCCATGCATAATCCCTGTCTGAGCTCCTGAATGGCTACAGAAGCACCAAGGGAAGAAGAGGTTCTACAGTGGTTCATTGCTGCACATTCTTTCCATATTCATAGGGCAGTGAAGCTCCTATGTTCTGTGAACACATTAAGTAAATCACTTGCATCTCATGTGTTTTTGTATATTGCATGAAATATGCATGACCCAGCTTTTCTACAGTCCCGATGATTATCCCTTTTGATGCCTCTGATGTAAATAAGCACCTCCTGGTAGCTGTCTTTCCAAAGCTCCCCAAAGGAGAGTGTGTTCTATCTTGCAGGTGATACCAAGGTATGCCCAGAACTCACCACATCTCTAATGTCTGTTCCTGGGCCTCACAGTACATAATTTTTCAAGATAGGCTGTCTTATAGCTGATGGGCATGTCGACTAGGTTCCCATTGGTGTCTTCCTCAGCTGTGCTCTCCACTGTGACTGTGAAGATGGTGACCCTGCTTCCTGGTGTTATGCCTGTCTCTTTCCGAACAGGCAGAAGTTGCATTCATGCCATATAACAGATCTGGGAAGCAGAACCTAGAGCTCTTCATTTAACTAGAGCCCTGCCCACTGTTGCAGGTGGAGCACCTCTCCTCCCACGGTCAGCATCAACACAGCGAGAAGAACAGCATGCAGGTACCTGGTACATCAGCAAAACATCCTGGTTGCACAGTTAGCTCTCTGAGAACAGGCAGGTGCAGACCAAGATCCAGAGCTGAGGCCTTCCTTATGCAGTGCTGTGTTTTTGTCCTAGGAACTCTCACCCAGAATGAGATGACATTCAGGCGGCTCCATCTGGGCACTGTCTCCTATGGAGCTGACACAATGGATGAGATCCAGACCCACGTCCTGAGCTCCTACGCACAGGTACGTGATTCATTTCTCCAGGAGCTATTCTCTAGGGAGGAGCTAAGACCCTGTTGAGCTACACTGAGCCTGTGTTATATCTCTGATTGTTATATCTTATTACAGTATCACTTAAATCATTAATTCTAATATTTCAATCCAGAAGTAGTTTTCAGTAAGCATTTCTATATCAATGTAGTCACAAAAGGGATAGAGGGCCTAAATCAATTACTTATATTTTTTCTTAGTGAATTATTTGTTAAAAAAGGTAATTCAATAAGCAGAATTTTGAAGAATACTCACTAGATAACTGTCTTTAGTATGTTTCTTAACGGTCCCTTTGTTTTTCTACATAATAAATGAAACTTGAGCTCAAAATTTTAAAGAAATTCTTTTTTCATTAAACAAAAATATAGTTCTATGAGTCCTCATATACCTGTCATTCGACACTCAACAATTTTCAGTACCTAAAGGATTCTATAGTTATTCTTTCTCATCATGTTTTGAAGTGATGCTCAAAAATCATACTATTATCTGAAAATTATTTATTACATGTCTATAATAGACAAAGATTTGGGGTTTGGTAAGATTTACAACCTCCCAAGAGTTCTCTGAGGTGTCGGCAGGAATTGTGTGTGCTTTTTTTGTTTTTTTGTTTTTTTCTGTACAGGAGATTGAACCCAGAGGCACTTAACCACAGAGCCACATCCCCAGCCCCCTTTTTAAATTTTATTTCTATTTATTTATTTATTTATTTATTTATTTATTTATTTAGAGATAGGGTCTCGCTAAGTTGCCGAGACTGACTTTGAACTCGCAATCCTCCTGCCTCAGCCTCCTGAGCCGCTGGGATTACAGGCCTGTGCCACCACTCCTGGCTAGGAATTATGTGCTTTGAATGTGAGGATGACCTCTGTGATCTATTCCTGGGTCTGGCTGCTTCTCACAGTATGTGTTTCTAACATTAAACTGTGTGTAGATCAAATGGAAGGTTCTCACAGCCCTGGCCCCAAGTAGTATTTGAATCTCATTCATTTGGATTTTTTTCTACCTGTCATAATTTTGAAGTCACTGATTCAGTATAATTAAACCTAGCAGTTCAAGGCCATGTATTTAACCTGCCAGGTACAAAACTGTGGTCTGTTACGAATTTCCCCTTCTTAGGTCATTTCTCTGCCTGTTTGTTGGTTTGCTCTGAATGCAGTAATCATATCACCTTGAGTCCAGACCTTGGGTTTCAAGAAGTGCATAGCTTAGCTGGGTGGTCAGAGCTCAGGTCTTGTTGGCCAAACTTGTGACCCTGGCCCAGAGCCAGGGAACGTCTTACATGTACTCATTCTCTCCAGAAGGCTTGGCGCAAACTAGGCTGAATTGCACTTTGCCTTTGCAGTTCTCCACTGTGACAGGTCAGAATCCCATTGCCGGTAGTGGGTACTACTATTTGGAAACCTCTCCTCTGAGTTGCTACCAGTCGGCATGTATTATACCCTTGAGGGTTGCCACATAAAAAGACCTCATTTTCGTGTGTGTGTGTGTGTGTGTTCTTTGTATTTATTTATTCATTCATTCATTTGCAGTGCTAGGGATCAAACCCAGGCCCTCATGTATACTGGGCATGTGTTCTACCAGAGAGCCACATCCCTAGCCATAGATTATTCATTAATAGAAGAGAAATCTGAAACAAAGGAGTAAAGCTTCCCTTCTCTCCTAGAATTCTGTGTCTATATTGAAGTAGTGCCTGCGTACATCTGTTTTTCTAATCTATATTATCCATGAATATGGTTTTAGTGGTTCCAAATAAGTCATTTTAACAGCAAAAGTTAAAAGCAGAAAAGATCAAAAATGGTTACAAAGACAGATATTTAAAGTTTATACCTAAGAGGACTTTAAAGGTCATTTCTACTAAAAGCTATCTATCTGTACACAGTACTTTGTGTGTGAAGTTGATGTCATCCTTGTTTTGTGTTCTGCTTTGTTAGTGAGATGACAGTGGTCTAGTAGATCCACTGTAATGCAGCACAGATCTTTTATAACCTGGTTACATTCCCCTCTGGAAGCACTTGGTGATGGAGGGCATAGTCTTTAATGGAATTTGTGTGGAATTAGATTGTGTAGGCATCAGTAAGCATAATTCAGAAAAGGGGAGCGGCTGGACCTCTCTGCTGCAGGGGCAGTGGCATTGGGAACCCAGTGCAGGTGTGGGGCTGGCAGCTCTGGAGGGCAGTGAAGGGCAGTGCAGGCCGAGCACCAGGTAGACCCTCTCTAAGCAGTAGAAGACTCGAAGTTCAGTGGCTCTCTACACCCAGTCCAGTTTCTTAAGATTGTCATGAACTGTCTGAAGTTACTAGGAGAAATGAGTGCAGATCCTATTGGGGTCAGAACAGTGTTCTGCAACATGCTGCTCAGGCAGGAGGTGAATCACAGGAGTTGTCACTTGGGGTGACAATTAACTCACACTGCTGGGTCTGATGAGAGCCAGACGTAGTCACTGCACACAGTGGGCAACTGCTTTGAGGTATGAGGGGTCATTTCCTCTGAAGGAACCCACAACTTCACACGACTGCATCTCATTACCATTAGATGCAAACCTGACGTGCCAGTTCAGAGACGTACAGCCAGGTATGCTTGTGGTATGCAGGGAGGAGTGTTACAAGCTCCATCCAACTCTCAGCTTTATACCAGTTTGTCCATAGCATTGTTTGAGAAAGCAGAAAGATGTTGTGGCCGTTGCCATTCCATTTAGTTGTCTAACTTGCTCTGTGTTCAGAAGCAAAGAACAGGAATTATTCAGGGTACAGCAAAGTCATGCCACAGATGAAGTGAGGTAAAGTAATAAGAAGTGGTCGGGTTTTAAGTTATAGCAACTATCTTGGTATGCTCAACAACCTAGAAATCCCAAAGCACTTTACATTCCTAAGACAGAAAAGTAGCTCAGCTGTGTAGGACACAGACAACCACTCTTCTTACCCTAGCAATTTCTTTTAGCTTACAAAATAACAGGTGTCAATAATCCCTGTGTCAGCATCTAGTTTTCTTTTTGGCCCATAATTACGTAATATCCTTCATCTTAAAGGTTCATCCTCAAACTGGTGGAAACAACCCCAGTTCAACCCCACCAAGAAGAGCCCAGTCTTCAACTCCCAAAGTCAGGAAGAGTGTCAGCAGTCGAGTCCACGAGGCAGTGAAAGCCATCGCCCTATGCCACAACGTGACCCCCGTGTATGAGTCCCAGGCTGGTATCACTGGGGAGACTGAGTCTGCCGAGGCAGACCAAGACTTCAGTGACGAGAACCGCACCTACCAGGCGTCCAGCCCGGACGAGGTGAGTTGCGCTCCTTAGAAACTCTTGCTTCAGGAAGTTTTTCATGGTGCAGAGCCCTCTGACCTCTGTGCGCTGGCTCTCTCTGGCATGGGGAGCAAGGACAGCGTCCCAGCCCCCATAACTGCTCCTTCTGCAAAGGTGAGAGCTGCCTGCCCGGTCTAGTGCATGCACTCCTTGGTCCTAAACTGTTCCTACCTCCCAAGGTAGCTGAGGATTAATTACAGGAAATAACATGAGAAAAACATGAGTTTTGAGTTTTATAAACTAACTTGTGACCAAGGCAGATCTACATAAAGCTGTTGAAACTTGGGACTGTTATACACTCTGTCATCCAGTTTTTTCCCTCATCTCCAAATGAATCATCAGACTTACATATTAAATGTCCAGATATTTTGTCAGAATTTAGATACAGTGTATCTATTTCAAAAGAGAACTCTGCTGGGCATGGTGGCTGACGGGAGACTGAGACAGGAGGATTGCATGTTCAAGACCAGCCTCCCAGCAACTTGACAGGACCTTGTATAGAAATAACAAGGACTGGGAATGTAGCTCAGTGACAAAACACCCCTGGATTTAATGCCCAGTATTAAAAAAGATAGAAAATTAGTATCTTAAATAATTTCAAAATTTAAGAGACATGGTAAAAATCTTAAATAAGGTAAATTAAACCTTTCTACCTTTACATCATTCTTAATAATTTTTAGAGTGGTAAAATTCATTACTAAATCTTTTTAATACCTCTGCAGTCTTAGCATATTTCATGTACAGCTTGGTATATACTCTGTGCCCTCGAGGAACTCGAGATAGAGTAGTCAGACCAGCTGTGGAATCAGGGTAAATAAACTGCTGCTTCAGGGACCTTGTCAAACTGGGTCACATATGTGAGTAATCGGAGGGAAAATGCCTGTAATCAAAGTGAAAAGAGGAACTCAGACCCGTATGCTCAAGAGAGGGGGCTGTTGGTTCTGGCGAGCAGGTTTATTGCAGAGGAGAAGTCTCTGCTCTGTAAAGCATTTTAGTCCAGAAGCAAGGTGTGCCTCTCACCCACCCTCACAGCGCTGGGCTGTCAAGTGTGGAGGTATCGCAGGTCTCACCAGTCCTTTTCTAGAGCATATCCAAGAAAAATGAGAACATGTGTACACCCAGCTACTTGAACACATGTGTTCGCAGAATTGTAGCCAACAGGTGGGAACAGCCCCAACTGTAGGTGGAGGGGCAGAAGGTGGTCTGCCCACACAGCAGAGGAGCAGCCAGTCCTGGAAAGAATGCTGCAGCATGGAACCTGGGGAATGTACGTTCAGTCACAGGAGGCCACATGACCTGCGATTCCATGTATACAAAACGTCAGAACAAGGAGGGTGCCGGGAAACAGCCAGGGAGTGATGGCAACAGGTCGGGACATCTTTTTAGGGAGAGAAAACGTTCTAAAACTGACGGTTGTGATGAGCGCACAGCTCTGTGCATGTACAGAACCCAATAAGTTTGAATGGTGCTGTGGTGTACAGACTGCAGCCTCACAAAGCCACAAAAGAGAAGCTTCAGAGTGAGTAGACAGGCCACACAGATAGGAGGAAAGGGCACTGACCCCAGGGCTGCTGCACAGCTAGCCAGCAGACCTGAAGGAGTGTGGGGCACAGGGCATCGAGGACAGAGAGGCCTGAGAGCACACAGGTCCCTGGCAGTTTACACTGCCGAGGAGAGCAGAACCTTGCCTAGAGGGGTGACAGCAGGTGAGCACAAGGAGGGTGGTACGTGTGCCACGGAGTGCAGCACTTGACCCATATGTCTATTTTGCCAGTGACGGTCACACAGAAGATACAGCTTGAGAAACTTGTCAGGAAAGGGTCCTCATGAACACCCAGAACAAGTTCCCCACCCCAGGAAGATGGGAGTGAGCAGATATTTGTGCGCAGAGAATGGAGAGGGAGTCCCACTCCTTCCTGGTGCGGAGGGCCCCACCAGGGGTAGGACGTCACCCAGAATCGGGTCTCCCTTATCTCCTGCAGGCTCTGGAAACAGAAGGGTTCTACTTGTTTGGGTTAGAAGAAAACAGTGCCGTCATTTCCTTTCTCCACAAGGGCGCTGTGACTGTGTCTTTCTTGGGGCAGGATGGGGTTTCATGTCAGCAGAGCTCTCAATTCTGTCTGGATGCAAACAGGTGGGTGCCTAGGCTTTTCCCTTAGTAAGTCATCTTTTAACACATACACACTAGCACCTGACTCCACCAGCGCCAGTCATTCTTAAGAGGTGTGGGGCTGGCCGCTGTCCAGAAATGAGGAAAGCTGTGTCCTGCAGACCGTTCTCTGAGCTTGCCGTCAGGGTTGAAGACTGATGCTGATATGAGATAAATGGGTGGTCGTGAAGACGTGTCACCCTCTTCTGGTGTTCTGAGGTTCTCCAGTACTTCTGGAGGTAGTGGCTCTTGGTGGCTCCTCCTGAAGTTGGTCCTTGGGACTTAAGACATATGGCCCCAGTTGCCTTTTTCTGGCACATAATGATAAGGAGTAGTGAAATGAAAGCCTAAGTGTACCAGCAGACTTGTGATCCTTTACAAAGCGAATGTCACTGCTGTCTTTGAAACAAGCCACAGCACTGGAAGTTCAACAGGAGCCGATTCCTGAAGTGTGGCAAGGCACATCCAAAGTTGAGAAGGCGTTTGTCCTCCTGGTACATAACGAAACTGACGAGGAACCGGGTCTTTCTTCTCAGAGGACACTGACACAATCTGCGATAACTGGAGTTTGTTGAACTGTTGGGATTTCCCAGAGGCTCCAGAGTGAACTCCGTTGTGGAAAGAGGGGAAGCTGGGTATGGAACTGAGCACCATTCCTTGCTCCTGCTTTCACTGCAGCGACTTCTCAGCCCTGCAGCTGATGGCCCAGCGTTCAGGTCCCCTCTGCCACAGTCCCACTTGTCTCCTGAGTCATGTCGATCAGTGAATCCGCACCGTCTCTGGTAGCTGCTTCAGTACAACTTGTGGGATCGTGTGTGTGTCAAGGTCTGTTGTTCAGTGGTAGGGAACTTAGGAGAACACCATGTCTCCACAACCAGGAGCAGAGAGGGGACCCAGAACTGACAGGCTGGGTGGGTAAACATACAGGACTCACCAAGTGCCATCTTCTTGGCTGAGGGCCACCAGGTGCCACCTTCTTGGCAAAGACTTTGAGACAGAAGTTATAACTGCCTTGTGAAGGGAAGAAAGCCTTTTCCTGGGAAGACAGGGCTGAGTGCTTTCACTGCAGCGACTCTTCTCTGTATGTGCTGTTGCCGAGCTACTAGAGGTTCTCACTCGCATGATCCCACGTTGGCAAAGAGCTACTTCCTGGCCGTAAGCATCGGGCGCTGGGGCCGGAGACCTTCCAAGGAACACGTCATTGAAGATTTTAAAATACTGCACTGCGGGGGCTGGGGTTGTGGCTCAGCGGTAATGTACTCGCCTAGCACGTGCGAGGTGCTGGGTTCAAGCCTCAGCACCACATAAAAATAAATAAATAAAACAAAGGTATTGTGTCCAACTACAACTTAAAAAAAAAAAACTGCACTGTGTGTTTACCTTATTTCCTGCCACAAGTACAAATTTTGTTAAAAGTATGTGGGACTTTTTTTTAAGTTTTTACGTATCATAATACCTTTTAAACCTTAACCTAGGAATTTGCAATAGAGGTTTCATTGATTCAGAAATTACTAAGAATTTAGAGAAGTTATAACATGGAAATTATTAATCTTATATGTAACTTTTTTGACCTGTTTGGAAATTGGACAGTTATTGAAAGTTGCAGAACATTAAGTAATTTTTTTAAATCCCTGATATATATTTTAAATCTGAAAATGAAAACAGTGAACTTCATCATAATTTTTAAAGAGCTGTATTGATGCAATGTTTGCAAATCCCCAAAGCCTCAGGAAAATAATCTAAATGGTTCATTATTTAGCTTATTGAACTTTGCTGCAGTTAGGTTGACGGATGATAGCAATGTTTCCCAATCACCCAAGTACCGTTTTAAAAGCATTTTTTATTGAATAAAGTGCTTAGAATATTGCACCCTGGAGCTTTATTTAGGGAAATGGTTCGATTGATGTTTTCTGTTTAACCTCAGCTTTGACCTATCACAACATATATGGTTAATAAGCTGCAGCATCATTTAAGAGACCTGACTAGTTCCATGCATTCCTTATCAATGCCACACTCTTACAGCCCTCTTGGTTATGGTGCCAGTGTCATCTCATCCAGAGAAAGAGTGTCATTTGTTAGGCAGAATGCCCTGGTGTTTGAGTCTCTGGCTGCCACCGTTGGCTGTTCTTCACAGTGTATGCAGCCTTGCTTCCCATTTTCCTAGAAGCAGAAAGGATCTTTTATCTTACCTACACATGCACACAGATGAATTTTTATTAAACAAATAATGGAATTCTGGAGGAATTCATCATAAGTGCAAAGGTCCTCGCTTGCAGTGGTGTGAGTACCGGGACGCTGGAGGTGTGCAGAGAGTGGCACTGGTGTCTGTGTGGACAGCCTTGTGGTGTTCAGGACGGGAGGCTGCTTATGCCCTGCCCATTGTTTCTTATGATAAGGGATCAATATTTCATTTTCTCTAAGAGAGCAGAAGGTTCTGCTTCCTGTCGTTTGTCTCTCTCCAGGCTCAGCATAGCCCCAGCCGAGAGATGTCAAGTGCTCCCTGGAAATTCCTTCCTGATTTACAGCCCGTCCCTCTGGTTGGCACACCCATCCCGTGCAGTTGCAGTAAGCCTGTGTGGAGTACATACATGTCTTATGTGATCATGAAGGACTTTAGCTCAGGTCCTCCAAGGATCGGGGCCTAGTAGGACAGACCTCAGAGACTCTGCTGCTCTGGTCCAAGCAGGTTGGCTGTGGATTTTAATGTCCGCCTGGCTCTATAGCACCCTTTCCCCACTGTGGCTACATGTCCTCCCAGCAGTAAGTTCTGCGTTTAAATATCATGCCAAAATGTGGCTATCGTTGCCTTGCTTCAGCACTGATGTGC